CTTCGTATTCCTCGGATGAGAGAGTTCCTGTCCTTTCCCATCCTACACGCGGTGGTCACGCTGGAGAGAGAGGGTGGCTGCTCTTCAATGCGCCAAGGATTTCCTTACAGGAGTGGAAGGCATGTGGGCAGTCTGTGTGGGACCGGGCGGACGGGTTTGTCCTGCATTCCAGTTAGCCTCGTCACATGCAGTCTCTGCCCATGTTTGCCCCGAGGGCTTGGTTGGTCTGTCCCTGGAGCTGCAGGTGGCTGTTGCAAACTGCTGGCAACGATGGTGGTGGTGGTGGTGGTGGTGGTGGAGTTCCTAGAAAGAGCAGCTCTTTGAAAATCAAGTGTCCTTTTCCGGGCTGGCGTTTAGATGCTTGTATAAAGCAGCGTCTGTCTCCTCTCAACAGAACAATGTCCTGAATGCCATCCTGCTTCTCATGAAGGAACTGGACGCGGAAGGTCTGGAGATCGTCCAGCAGACGGTGGGGAGGAGGCTGCAGGCCTTTCGGAAGAAGGAGCTGCAGGAGGAGTGATCTCCCTGCAGCGCCAGCCGGCCCCAGACCCGCAGCACCGTTCTTCCCACACATGCCGGGCTGCATCCAAACCCTCGGCGTTTCCCGCTGCGCTTCCCTTGCGGAGGGGCTGGGATGGGGTGCTCCTGACGTCGCCCCTGGCTGTGCACATCGCGCTGGGGCTGGCAGCACCCCGAGCTGGTTCTCGGGAGCTTTCCTGCTTGCGTAGCAGGCTCTGTTAACATTCGTATCTCATGTCGCTGGGGCTGTTTGCTGGGAGCAAAGCCGGGCTGCGGTGAGAGCTGCCGCTGTGCTGTGCGATCGAAGGGGGATGGCAAAGCCTGCTGATGGTGAGAAAGGTCACTGCTTGGCGGCGGCTCTCTGTCAGGCTCACCCTCGGCCAGCCCCTCTTTGTGTGTAGCAGACACAGTTTCTACCACAAAGATTTGTTTTTGTGGAGTCTGTCAGGGAGACACTGCCTGAAACGATCGCCAAGAACTGTCTGGTGCAGATTGGGAAGGTCAATGTCAAATTCTTAATTTATCTTCAACTCCTGACTTCTTCTGGTCCTCGTTAGCGCATGCAGCATCTGACTTGGCAGTCAGGCGGCCCAAAGGAAAGCTCGGTGCAGCCTTGGTGAAACAGAAATGACTCTCTCCCAGCTCCTTAACGCTCGGCTGTACTCTCACCCCCACATGCCCCTGCAGGCATTAGAGCAGCTTAAGGAAACAACGTCAGAGTAAAAAGCCCCTGTGCGTTTTGCCGTTAGGAGAAAACGAGTCTCCGGTTTGCAGAGGCATCAGGGGTGGCGTTTCTCTTTAACTGAAAAAGCTGCATTTACTAAGATTTTGTAGAGCTGTTAAATACAAACTAAACCGTTGTGACATACCAAATAAAACCAATTATCCCTCTAGGACGTGTAAGTAGTGGCCGGGGTTCAGCAAACATAGTGAGAACAACTGACTCTGGGCATTGCTCCATTACGTCTGGTTCACGGCTTGCATTGTCAGCCCCGCGGAGCAGGAGGAGGGCTGGGGGCCCCCGCGCCCTCCCGCTTCACTGGGCCGGTGACATGGCTCACCCGCCTCTGGTGCTGGTTGATACTGCGCCGAGCCACTGCAGGGGTTGCTTTTCAAAGGCGCTGTGCTTGTTGGGAACCTTCTCGCAGCCACAAGTCCACACCGAGCGCAGGAAGCAAAAGAATCAGCGAGCAAAGCTCGCTCGCTCATGCAGAGATGCAAAGCCTGCCTGGGCAGGACGGTGGCCCCTGAGACATAGGACACGTGGTGCTCAGGTGCAGACGCCAGCGTGGCTTTTCTGTCACCGCTCTCCCTGTTCGCACAGGTGTCCCAGCCCCTGCGTACCGGGTCGTGCTGCCGGGAAGGAACGCTCCTCAGGGATGGTGATAGCCCCTGCAGCCACAAGCATGCTTACTTCACCTTGGTGGGAGGGGGCACAGTCTGACCCTCCTCACTTGGGTGAAGATTGCTGGTGCCTTTAACTCCTCAAATGACCTCGTTCTTGCCTTCTTCATTAACCCCAGCTGCATTTAAATGGCCAGTGTGATTTATGAGATAATATACCAGACTTCCCTTGACAGCCAGAGCCCGAGAGACTTACCCGTCATCTTGTATGCATCTTGCCCTTCCGCCGAGGGCCAGTCCTCTCCCAGGCTGCCTTGACAGTCTGCCTGGTGGCAGAAGTCACGCCTGTCCATGTCGGGGAACAGGGGAGCTGCCGTTTGGGTGTGCCAGCCCCCACCCAGCTTTGCTGGGAGGAGAGTGATCAAAGCAAGCGTCATCGTTGGTCATCGAGGCTTCTTTTTTTGTGATGAGGTTTGTGGTGAGGGTGGCTAATGGAGCAATCGCTGTGGCCCGAGGCTGCTCTGGCACAGTTCCTCCCTTCGCTGCTGGAGAAATTGGGCTGTTAATCCTCGACGGCAGGACCATCCCTGAGCAAAGCTTGCTGCCTACGTGCTGCGCTTGTCATACTTGGCCGGTGCCGGTGCTCCGGCTGCCAGGCCAGCTGCCCTGGATGCTCCCGACCACTCCTTGCAGGGTGACCCCGCAGCATCCCGGGGCAGAAGGCTGGTCCCTTCGGCTCATGCCTCTTCACGCCGCCGGGGACCTGGCAGCCTGCCTTTCGCTGCAAGGTGCTTATGGCTTTGTGCGTTGCCCTCTCTTCAGGGATGCAGGGGGGAAGCCTGGGACTGGGCTGGATGTCACCACGTCCCCTTCTGCTCGTCCTGGCAGGGCACATGGCTGTTGACCTTGGTGGGGGCTGGGCCTGTCTGTCTCCCCCCAGGAATTTGGCATTCCAGGCTTTTTTTTTTTGGCTGGAAACGAGATGTTAGGGCCGCAGTGACCCCTGGCCCCAAGCACCTCTGAATGTGCAGCTCATGTGAGTGTGGGGACACTTCTGCCCCGGGGGAGTGGTAGAGTTGCCATCCCTGGAGGTATTTAAAAGACGTGTAGACGTGGTGCTGAGGGACGTGGTTTTGTGGTAACTTGGCAGTGCTGGGTTAACGGTTGGACTCGATGATCTTAAAGGTCTCTTCCAACCATAACGATTCTAGGACACCCCTTCCCCATTCACACCCTAAACCTGGCTGCTGGAGGGCTGTGGTCCCCTGCCAGTCCCTCCAGTGCCCTGCTGCCAAGAGTGCCAGGCTGGAGAAAACACACGCTGGAGAGGAGCCGAATGCCTGGGGCCTGCCAGCTGCGCCCGGGCACGAGGCTCCACCTGGGCTACAGTACAGCTGCAGGGCTTTTCGACGTTACCCGCTTTTGCCCTGACCTGCCTCAGCGAGGGATACCGAGAGATGAGGACAAATGTTTCCCAGTCACAGAAAATGCCAGTGGCTGTCCGCCCGCAGGCGCAGATCCAGCACAACTCGCATTCAAAGCATCCTTGGGGACTCTTGGAGGCTGACGGTGAGGCAGAGGCGTAGAACCACAGTGGCACGGGGCTCTGTGGCTGATAGGGGCGTCCCTCTTGGGAGCTGGCTAAGGATCCCTGAAAGCAGCACATGGGACAGTGGAAGACCGTGTTTCCCACCCGCCGCCTTCCCAGTGTTGGGATGGGCAACCAGGTCTCTGCCTGGGGTCCCCAAGAGCTCAGGAAGAGCCGCAATGCTGCCTCCATCAGCCAGGTCTGCGATTTCTCTGCGTGTTTAACTCCAGCAGGGAAGATACAATAATTATCGTCTTCAAGAAATGCAGCCAGCTAGGGGAAAAGCACTTGGGGACAACTCCGCAGGGAGGAAAAGAAATAACTGCGTGTTGGACCCAAAAGACTGTGATGCGTCCTGGCCATGTCCCAGAGGCTGGAATCGTCAGCTGAAAGCCCCAGGAGGAAAGCAGCCTGGGAAAGGGGCTACACGCGGCCCTCTGGCATCAGCCAAGCCCGGCGGAGCTCAGCCAAGCCCGAGCGCTGCACGTGGGAGCCAGCAGGCTTGGCAGCCGCCCTGAGAAACTGCCTTAACACACACACGCATCGCCTTGATAAATCACTGCTGCGCTTGCCTTGAAGGTGGGAACCAAAACAAGGGAGAAGCAATGTTTCTCCGGGATTGCGAAGTCTGCCCACAGAGGGATGCTGACCTTGCACCCGCCACGGCCCAGCCAGGCCCGCGGTCCCACTCTCCCAGGCTTTGAGGACGCACGAAGCAGGGAAACATCCTGCCCCAGCGTTAATCCGGCTCCAACAAACCGTCTGGCTTTGCCCATCCCCATCCTAACCCCGGGTCTTCTCCCGCATTCCTCCCCAGGGGGAATCGGCGCGCAATGACCACTCTCCGGCGAGGCAGGGTTGGCTCCAGCGGGTTTTATCTTAGAGGAGGAGAGCAGCACCGCGAATGGTATGAGATACAGGGCGGTGGTGAGATGATGGGCGCAGCCCCGTTGGTGGCACCCGGGGCCACACGGTGATGGTCACAGCCAAGCGTCATGCAAGGTGGCCGGGGAAGAAGGGCTTGCCGGGACCCGTGCTCTGCGCTGAGCCCTCTGAACACCACACTGGGCAAACACCACGGGAGGATGGAGCTTTACTGGGGCTCTCGGAGCAGCCGAAAGCCCCTGGGAGCAGCCCCTACCCACTCCGGGACTGCACCGCATCCTCCTCGGCTCCCCTCCCGCACGCAGAGCAGGCGACTAAAAGCAGCAGTTGGCTCAGGCGGTCAAGCCGCTAAATAAGGAATCAGGATACCCCATCATTAAATAATAGGAATAAACCATTAAGGAAAGATGAAGAGTCTGGGCTGTGCAGCTGGGCTCTAGCAGCATCTCCTTCCTGCATCTGCACAGGGACCAGACCCCCGGACCAGGGATTCGGGGCAGGATTCTGCTGTTTTGGGAGCCGGGACCAGGCTCTGCCTGCTTTAAGGGATCGGTGGCAAAGCTACAGGGCTACTGAGAACAGGGCGGGGACCCGGTAGTCCCCGAGCAGCATGTGGGGATGGAGAGGACACGGGGTGGGGGGGCTACGGCTCAGGCTAGCGGGACTAGAAGCCCTTCTCGATGCTGAGTGTACGGCGGGTGACATGCTCCATCTTCCCCGAGATGTACTCAGTCAGGCTGATCTGGTAGTTGGCCAGCATCTTCAGCATCAGCCGCAGGTTCAGCCACCACTGCTCCTGGGGCAGCCTGTGCCTGCGCAGAGTGGGATGCGGCTCTCAGGTGACCCTGGGGACGACCCTGGGACCTGGTGAACCACTGGGGCATGGGGACAGGGACTTACTCGAAATCAGTGACTTTCTTGAGCTCCGTCACGGGGCTGAAGGCCACCACCTTCTTCCTGAGCCCGATCACGCAGGCAGAGTCACCCGAGTTGGCAAACACGCGCCCTGGGAGGGAGACACAGCCAACCATGGCCACCTCGTGGGGGCCAAGTGGCCGAGCCTGGAGCAGTAGGGGCCGCCCAGTGGCACCAACTTCCCCCGACAGGACTCCCAACCCTCTCAGCTCACCCTTGCGGTAGACCTCCTGCAGCTTCTCCGACATCCACAGCACCGCCTTCACTCCCAGCTTGGTCCCGTAGTTGCGGTCAAAAGGGGTCGGGGCTCCTCCCTGGGGACAAAGAAACGGTGATGTCAAGCTCGCCCGGCTCTTGGGGACAGTGGTGGCCCGTGTTGCGCTGTCCCCCGTACCTGCTGGAGGTGGCCCAGGACATTAATCCTGCAGTCGAAGATGCCTTTGCCCTCAGAGGAGTAGAGGTTGTAGAGGAACTCAGTGGTGTAGTGTTCGTGGCACTTCTCGTTGCTGGGGGAGCAGAGGGAAGGGGTTGGGGGGCTGCCCCATAATGTGGCATCTCCAGGGGGTCCCTCCATGCTCCCCTAAACACCTTTTTTTTTTTTTTTTACCGTTTCGTTCTCCCTGAGGCCCAGAGCCCCAACCCATCTTCCCAGCAGGACCCTGGGGCCGCGGTGGCGATGGCAGTGGAGGCATCCAGCACAGGACCATCCCCCTGGCTGAGCACAGCATCCTCGGGCGGGATGCCATGCACCCACCGTGCCGAACCTCACTGTGCCCAGGGACCCTCTCCGGCCATGGGAAGGGCTCAGCTGCAGCCTCAACTCCCCGTCACGGGGCTGTGTTTTCCAGCGAGCGTCCCCAGGTGTCCCCAACTCACCGCAGCACCAGCCCTCTCTGGATATCTGTCTTCATTTTGTCAGTCAAGTGCTCCACGTTGGCCTGCAAGATGATTACCAGGATGCCAGCGGTGTCCCATGTCCTCTGCAGCCATCCCAGGTCCTCTCATTTGGACTCAAGAGCCACTAATGTCATGTGGCGGCTTCACGGAGCCCTCTCTTTCCTGGTTTTCCATCTTATTTTACCCAAACAATGCTGCCAGAAAGCAGCCCCTTGCCACGCTCACCTTCAGGTCATGGATGGTGAAGGGATCTTCATAGACGTAGGCAGCATCTGCACCCACCGCAATGCCGGTGACGGTCGACAGGTACCCGCAGTAGCCCCCCATCGTCTCCACGATGAAGACGCGGCGCTTGGTGCCTGAGGCCGACTGCTTGATGCGGTCACAGCTCTGTGCCGGGAGAAAAGGATGGGTGTCACACCAGGAAAATCCATCTTTGCTACCCAGGATGGGATGCCGGTTCATTCCCGCATGTCATGCCAAAACACGGTGGGACCTGGCGGAGCGGTACAGCCCTGTAAGCTGCCCCCTGCCCCGTCCCTCACCTCCATGGCCGCGTTGACGGCCGTGTCCGAGCCCAGGCTGAAGTCGGTCCCCGGCACGTTGTTGCTGATGGTGGCGGGGATGACACACATGATGATGCAGAGCTCCTCGTACTGCCCACGGGCCTCCACCAGCTGCAGCACCCCCTCGTATGCCTGCAAGCAGCCAAAGGCTGGGGAGATGCCGGTCCCGGGGCTGGATGCGCATCCCCAAAGGGATGGCCCGGGGCGCCTGGGACGCTGACAGCCCACCCCGGTCCCCACCGAACCAGGGCCAAGGGTTTCCCCCGCACCTCGAACCCCCCGATGACCAGCAGCCCCTGGATGTTGAATTTCCGCACGTTCTCCACGATCTTTTCCATGCAGGTCTTGGGCAGCGTCCTGCGGTGGGGAAGGGGAGGAGAGACCGTGGGGTGAAGACAGGGGGATCCCCCGCAATCCTCGGGGACAGCCGCCTCCCCTCCCCTACACCCCCTTGGCCCCCACCCCAGGGGGCTGCGCTTACCGCTTGGTGCCCAGCATGGACCCGCCACGTCCCAGCCAGCCCGCAACGTCCGCC